GGGGCGTGGCGGGGCGGGGCGTATTAAGGCTTAAGAAGTGTACGGCGGCGACGTAACGGGGCAGTGCGCGCGGCACTGCACTAGCTTGCGCTGCATTGGTAATGCACATGGGCGGATGAAGGGATCTGTCTGGCCGTCCTGCTACAGCTGCAGCAGCAGGGCGCGCGGCAGGGGCGTAGAGCACGGCGATGCCAGCGACGCACACACACGCCCATAAGCACAAACACTCCTACACACACAGCACTGCACGCCGCCCGCCCCGGCCCCGCGGCTCAGCTCGGCTCAACTCGACTCCATCTCCACGACTTTCCCTTTCCAAAGAGACCGGCTCGTGGCGGGAGCGACCGAACGGAGCGAGCGACCGGAGGGCTCCGCGCCGTGGCCTACACGGGGCACAGCCGGGGCCGCTGGAGCAAGGCGACCCACGGGGCGACCCGCCCGCGCAGGTATCGGCCAGGAACACGATTACGATTACTTCCACGTTCGTGAAGCAGGTTACCCACGCGCAAACTCGGCGCAATCGGCTCTCCGGCGGCGCGCCGATACAGAGAGTGCGTATACGGGCTGACCCCTGGCCCTGGCTATTGTCACCGTATTCATTTTTATGCGAGCAAGGCGTGTTTTCTTCTTCTTCTTCTTCTTCATTGTCGTGGTCCATGATCCATGATGATGCTATACGCACACACACACACACACACACACACACACACACACACACACGCTCACAGTCCCCGGGGCGCGGTGAGGCGTAGGCTCCCATTGTGATGCAAGTGGTGAAGGCACGTGTGCCGTTATGCGCGCAGGGTGTCGTCCTCGTCCTCACGCCCCTCGTCAAGCAGCGACGCTCATAACCAGCAAGTTCTCTACGTGGCTGCTGTAGAGGGAAATAAAAACTGCGCATCCCGTACTGTGCAAATCAAACTATATATTTATGAGATGACAGTTTGAATGGCAAAACTAAGCAGGGTATACAGTTTGAATTTCGCAACTAATGTTTAGTTTGGACGTTCCAACTGTCCAACTGTTTACTTTCACAGTTTTAGCTAACTGCACTTTTTAAAAGTCATTTCGCAGATTTTTGGTTTTGCTGTTAGATTTGCCACGTAAACCTTGGCAGAAGACAGCTGGCTTTTGTCTTGGAAGTGTGTACATCAAACTTTAAGTACATCAATGTTCAGGAAACCAAGTTCCTGTTCGTGTAGAAAGTTAGATGAGCGCCGGAACGAACCGTTTCCCATCATCTGTCCCCGGGTGGTAGGAGGAAAGCACGCGGGCGATCGGCCTACTGTTAGGCCGTCCGGGAGACCGATCATAGCAAATAAGCACTTAGTCGGAGGAGAAGAAGAGCAGTCAGCTCCCGGACAGAAGCTACACTTTCACCGAACGTACGCACGAACGCACGCACACAGGGGCTCATCGGGTGAAGGTCCGACGCATGATGCGAGGCTCCCTCCTTGACCCTATGCGGAGCATCAATCACAGACGAGACACGCTCCTCTCCGATTTGGAGCGTCTGGGCGGGCGATGCGTGGAGTTGTCGCTCCCGCCAGGGGCCAGGGGCGACGCAGCCCTAGGGATCGCAGATGTTTGGTGTGGAGTTGTTGAAGTAGAAGATGTTGATGTTGTGAATGTGGACGGTGATGTGGATATGTTGATATGGCTGTTGAAGGTGATGTGAATGTTGTTGAAGATGGTGTGGATGTTGAGGAGGTTGCTGATGTGAATGGCGATGTTGATGTGGAGGTTTAACGGGAAAAAAAGACTTTGTTGTGGGGATCAACTTTGGTCGATAGGCAAAATTCGATAGCAGAAATCGAAAATCCGATGCCCACAGCCAGGAGCTGGTCGTCACGACCGGACACTTGTGCGATGAGAACTAAGCTGGTGTCCGGTCGTGACGATCAGCTACTGGCTATGGGCATCGGATTTTCGATTTCTGCTATCGAATTTTGCCTATCGACCAAAGTTGATCCCCACAACAAAGTCTTTTTTTTCCGTGTTGTTGATGATGTGGAGGTTGATGTGGATGTCAATGTTACAACTCCAACTCCTGCTGCAGGTGATGCGGGGCCTGTGGGTGGCCGTGCTGCTGCTGGGCCTGGTCGGCCCCGGCCTGCACCACGCCGAGCCCCAGGAGGGGCCCGCCGCGTGGCCGGGCCTGGAGGGCCTGGAGGCCGCGAGCTTGGAGGGTGCCGGCGTCAGCGCCCTGCACCGCGAATACGACAAGGTGAGTGCACCACAATGAATAAATCGGAATAAATAATAACAATTGGCATTTCTCTATAAATATTTTTCCAGCAAAAAAGATATAACTAAAGAATCTTGAAATGTCAACGCGATAGCAGCGGTCAGTTGTCTGGAGAGTACCGATACACGCACGCTGCGGTATGTAAAGATTAAAAACAAAACTACCGGGATAAAAACAGGACGGCTCGCACTCACGCCCGAGGCAGCCGATGACCTTAACCTTTTAAAAACAGTTTACTAAATCGATCGAGCAGCAGAGGTCTCCGCTGCTCGACACTATACTTTCCCCCAGGGGGCGTCCCCTAGCCGCAGCGCTTGGGGGGGGGGGACTGATTTGGAAGAGGGGGGAGGAAAGGGGGCGAGAACAAGAAGAGTCGCCCGACAAAACAATTATGACGGCCCTCAATTCGTTAATCACTCCGCAAACACGACATGGCGCGCGCGTTCATTATATTACGTAGAAAGCGAGAGTGGCGAGAAAAAAAAATTAAATGAAGAGGAGAGTGAGTGAGCGAACAGAAGAGGCGCGCTATCCGACAAGCAGAAGTCGAGCCAAGCGGCCAATTATAAACGGGCCGAAAGAAAACGAAATATAAAGGAATGATTAAATCCACCTTGAGAAAGAAGGGGCAACCTTTTCCAGACGAACAGGGCGAACAACGAGCGCCCAGGCGTTCCACCCCCTTCTGTTTCCCGCCCGGCAAAAGAAAAACGAACAGGAGAATCAGCAGCGGCGACCCGGAGATGCGGACTTTTCAACTGCATTCTTTTACGCCTCCTCTTCTTCCCTTTTTTCCTGCTCCGTGTTCATTCCGGGGCGCGGCGAGCGCGGACGTGTGAACTCTGCAACCGCTTTTGCTTTTGGCCGTACAATGCGACGCGCGTGCGTTTCCAATACCTCATTCGAAATTTCTTGTCTCGGCCGCGCAGCCGGCTGGGTCGTGCCCCTCCGGAGCAGCCCAGCGCGCGAAGCAGCCGATGGGTACTTTCAAGAGTACACATATTTTTTTTTGATTTTTTTCTTGATTTTTTCCCCCGATATTCCTTTCAAAAAACTATTTTAAATCTTGATTTTTCCTTGACCTTTTTTTTCTGAATTTTTCTGATTTTTTTGAGGGTGTACAATGATTTGGTTTTTTTAAGAGGTCCCCCCTTCCCTTGGGTGCAGCCCGTCATACCATCGCCGCCATCGTCACTCCGCGGGCGACAAAGGCGCGGACTGACCGGGTCACGTTAAAGACCCCCCCGCCGGCCCGCTGCGGCCCGACCCGCAAGTCATACAACGGACAATAATAAAGAATATAAGAACAGGGAGGGAAAAGTAGAACGGTTCGAGATAAGAAGGGCGCTGTGGCCTTCTCCGCCACTAGCCGGCCGCTGCTGGGCGAGCTCTAAAGAGTCTACACAGACTCCGCGCAAGCAGTTCAAAAGCCTCACTGGGCTGCCGCAGGAGCAAGCTCCCCATTGTGCAAGGGCAGGAAAAAAAAGGGAGGGCCGTAAAATAATTTTCACTCGAGATTAAAGCGCATTTTACGAGGCGTATATACCTGTTTTTATCGGCCGCTGGCGCCTGACGTGCCGACGGCAGCGTCCCGTCCGCACCATCCTGGCGTGCGGCGCTCGGATCAATCAACAGCAGCAGCATCCGCCGAGCGCGACATTTTGCCGCTCACGGTTTGAAGGGAGGAGGTCCCGTGACATTTTTCGAAACCTCCCGCCCAGAAACGACCAAAGACGAGAGAGTAGCCTCAGACACGTGGGCGCCGCATCCTGCCGAAAGTCACCGAGGGGGACTGGCGCGAAGTCCCCGTTGTTCAGCGAACCGCTGTTTGGATATCTATGCCTTTTACTGAACCATCTCCAGGTGTCTAGGTGTCACACCGATAGTCTAGTCCCAGAAGTGTCGTCATTTACCCTACAAGACATTGCTTTGGGTGCCCCGCCTAAAGACGTGAGACCTCAAATCTTTTTCTCCGTGTGCAGAGAACAGAAACTTGAGGCGAGTGGCGGTATAGGGCGGCTGTGGAAAAGCGGGGCGAAGCGGGGCGGGGTGGGTCGGCGAATGGATCAACTGACACACTGCCTCACTGGCGACTTGCGAGGTGGCCGATGATTGCGACAATTAAATGTCGACGAGCTGCCTCTGCTGCCCTGCCTCGGCTCGGACGCACCTTGTACGGCCCTCCGCCGCCTCGCGCGCCGCAAACGGGACGAAAGTGTCCCCTCAGTTGACGCGGTGAACGCCGTTAAATGACTGGAATCAGATGGCAGACCTGCCCCACCGAGTCTCTCTTCGAGCCAGTGGCGTTTTGCCCGGGGGAAAAGTGGCAGGTGCTCTGGAGCGCGCCGTGGGGGAAGGCAACCCAACGCACGTGCGAGCCGGGCGGAGCCGTAGCGGGCGGGACGGGTGGGGTGGGCGCTGGTGCGGACGATGCGAATCTACGGACGAAAACGCGGCGCGGGGGATGATGAAAACTCACGAGATGTGGGGTCTAGTCGTGGGGAAATGAGACACCACTTTTCCCGTGAGTGGCAAACACAATCAAAATGTTTTCGGTGCTTACAGTTGAACCAAACTTTGGCGTTGACACGACGTTTCGAAGTTTTCGAACTGTTCCAATTATTTAAACTGATTATATGTGATGCCTCATTCTTTCCTGCGACTCATCGGACCCTAAACATTCAGACCCGCACAGATTCGTGATGTTTAACACAACTGTGGATGTTACAGGGATGGCGACAACGGGTCGGCTCCGCGGCCGCCGAGCCTGCTGCTGACGACGAGGATGCCGCCGAGGGGGACGCCGGCGGCCATGGCCCGGGGAAGCCCGTGGACCAGGACTCGGCCTTCGAGGACGCGTTGCCACCAAAGCGTAGGCGCTACAACCGGAAGCGCCCTCGGCCCGGGCAAGGCGCACCCCAGGAGGACGCCGACGGCGAGGCACCAGCCAAGCGGAGGAAGCCGCTTCGGGAGGACGACGAGGACGCCCTTGGGGACGAGTACCGTCGGCGCAAGCCGGGGCAGCGACGGCGCCGTCCTCAGCGCCCCGATGCCGACCCCGCGGCCGACGCGGAGGTCGGCGACGAGGAGCAGCAGCCACCCAACCCAAACGCAGAGCAGGGAGGGGCGGCGGCGCCGGTGGACCTCAAGGCGCTCCTCAAACAGACGGCCGGCCACCTGAGCCTCAGCGAGCTGTTGCAGAACAGGAACCTGTCCCTGTCCGACCTGCTCAAGGGTAACCGCGGCGCGCTGTCCGCCCTCACGGCGCAGCAGACCGCGGCAGAGCAGGCCGTCGCCCCGACTGCCGCCACCGGCGCGACCACGACCAGCACCTCCACCACGGCGGCCTCGGACACGACGGACAGGGACCCGGTGCCGCCGTCGACCGAGCGCCACAATGGCTTCGTGCCGTCCAAGCCGCGCCGGCTGCCGCCCGTGGCCCGCCCCACCGTCGGGCTGAGTACGTCGACCTCCACGCGGCCTGTCTCCACGGAGGAGCCCGAGATCACCACTTCGCGGCCGCGGAGGTTGCCCGCCGTGGTGGCGCGCGCCAAGGAGCAGCAGCACCAGAAGGAGCAACAGCATCAGAAGGAGCAACAGCATCAGAAGGAGCAACAGCAACAGCAGCAGCATCAACAACAACACGTCCTCCAAGGCAAGGGGCACGCGGACGCGCTCGACCCCATGAGCCCCGCCATGATGGCCATGATCACGCTCGAGGCCGCCGACACGCACACGTCCAAGCCGCGCCGCATCCCGCCGCCCGCGGCCACCACCACCACCGCGCCCAGCCCCAGCCCGAGCGCCGAGACCAGCCCGCCCAACAGCAGAGCGCCGCAGGAGGCCGAGGACGCCGCCACCTCGCCCATGACCACGCTGCCACCGCGCGAGTTCTACCCGCTCAACGTGGACTCGCTCGAGATCACCACCCCGCGGCTGATGGGCGTGTCCAAGGCGTCGCACAACGGCAAGGCCCAGTGGCTGCCGCCTGCGGACCGCATCATCGACGCGCAGGTCTTCTCGCCGGGCTCCATCGCCAACAAGTTCAGGTCGCACGGCTTCGCGGCGAGCGCCGAGCAGGCTGAGCCCGCCGTCACCACCACTACCACCACGACTTCCACCTCCTCGACGACAACCACGACGGCTACTGCACCGACCCCGACGGCGCCGAGCCACAACACGCTGCAAAACACCTCCGACCACTTCCGGCTGGAGAACGAGACGCTCGACCTCAAGGAGGGCAGCAACGCCCTGGACAAGAGAAAGATCGCGACGGCGCCCGGGGGAAACGGCGTCAACGTCACGTCCGCGCCGCAGCAGCAGGCCAACGCCGTCAACGAGCTGGACCGGGAGCAGGAGAAGGCCGAGAAGCGCAAGACGTTCGCCACCACCCCGGCCGGGCCCCGGCGCCTGCCGCCCACGCTGGCAGGGACGCGGCGCCTGCCCGCCCCCAACCCGGCCCTCGTCCGCCCAAAGAGCACAACGGAGGCCCCGGCACCCGTGCGCGAGACGCCAGCCGAGCGCGTCCGTATCCCCTTCCTGGGCACCAAGAGGCTCAAGGACAAGGAGAGAGAAAAGGAGCGAGAGCGGGAGCTGGAGCGCGAGCGGGAGCTGGAGCGCGAGCGGGAGCGAGAGCGAGATCGAGACTCCCTGCTGCCGCCCACTCGCTTCGCGCTGCCGCTCCCAGAGGTCATCTCCGTCGAGAAGATGATCGCAGACGCGAGGAGCCGCGGCGCGTTCGGAAGCTCGGCCCCCTCGTCGTCCGAGCGGCCCTCGGCGGAGGACTCGGAAGACACGACTACCACCACGTCCACGACGGCGGTCACGACCACCACCTTCGGCTCGCGCGACGAGATCGTGGACCTGCTCAAGTCGGAGCAGAGCTCCACGCGCCTCGCGCGCATCCTGGCCGAGCGCAACATGACCCTGGAGGACCTCCTGCAGCACCGCGAGCGCGGCTCTAGCCAGCTGCACTTCGCCGACTTCTTCCGCAACGCGTCCGCGAGCAGCGCCGCCGACGACAAGCCGGCCGTGGACCTCGTCCCCAAGGAGATCGCACCGGCAGAGCGCAAGGAGAGCGTCAACATTCTGCGCACGTTCCACGAGGTGCCCAAGTATCCGTTCGCCTACGCCGGCACCGACGACTCCGAGGAGGCGGCGTCTACGCTGTCGCTCGTCAACGTGAAGCCGGCCGGCATCGTGCTGCCCGCCGATCCGGGCGAGCGCTACCACCAGCGCGATGTGGGTCCGAGCCGCGCGCCGCGGGTCATTCCACCACAGCAGCCGCCCCCGCCTCCACCCCCGCCGCCCCCACAGCCGTTCCCCATCCCGACGTTCCGTCTCCCCGAGCCCCCGGCGCACGGCGGCAACCCGTACCTCGTCATCAAGCACGTCGCCGACAGGCCCGACGCCGTGGTGCTGGAGCACGTCGGCGAGATCCACCAGGTGGGCGTGAGCAGCAGCGTGGAGGAGGCCATCGTGGTGGACAGCGGGGAGCAGGTCCGCGACCGAGACCGCCCCGACAGGCTGGACCGGATGTCGCTGCCGTCGGGCGTCAAGTCGGCCATCATCGCCAGCACCGTCATCTGCGGCCTGGCCATCGTCGGCTTCCTCGCCATCTTCATCGTGTTCCGCTGGCGCCAGAAGCGCGCCCTGGTGCGCGCGCGCGGCGCCATCCTGTGCGAGCAGCTGCAGCGCGGCAGCTTCCGGGGCCGCTCGCTCAGCCCGGTGCTCGTCAACGTCAAGAACAGCCAGGTGCAGCCCATGCAGGGCCACCCGGGGGGCGGCGGCCCGCTCCCGTACTACTCCAAGAAGGACCTCAGCTCGAGGGCCACCTCCAACACGGCGTCCAACAGGCACTACTACCTGTGGCGGTCCCTCCGAAAGACATTCCAGGAGGACGACATGGAGTAGGGGGAGGAGCAGAGAAATCAAAAAGTATGAAGAGGAGCGCGCGGGTCCAGTGTTGCAGCATATGCACTCGAGCTCAGCGCTTTGCCATCGGGTGCAATGCAAGAGAGGGGAGTGTACAAAACTAAACCCTGCAAGGCAGGGCATTACACCCTTTTGTGTGAGCCTCAAGGATGAGCTCCTGTTTTATAGTGCATTGTTACAGTTGAGTGAGTAGTGGGGAACTGTTATACAAAGTTTCCTGGCTGACATCTTCACGGAGTAATGAACTATGTTGCGCAACCTTATTGTGATAAATAACTGCTGTAGAAACTGTTCAATGGCAACTGGGACATTTCTCCCAGGATTACGTTGTTTACTGACCACAAAATCTTGTTCTTAAATATCCTCCTTGCAATTGAAAGAGATTGTTATTGAACATGAGCGATTTTGGAAAAAGAAAAATTTCAATAATTACTGTCAGTAGAAAGAGTTTTTAACAACTTTCATTAAGTGCCACAAAGACAGATTCTGCGGTGATGACTGTGTACATATGATGCATATTATGTAATATAAGAATCTAATTTATAATTTATTTTTTTAATACCTAGTTTTGAATTGATGTGTGAGTTAAAGGGTTACATTGTTCTAATTATTCAAGAATGTAATTAAACAAAATTTCTGAAAAAGGGGCATCTTTCTCTTGAATGTTTCAAAATCATTTTTTATTTAGTTCTGATACTTATTTAAACCTTTATGATCTTAAGTATACTTTCCCTCGACAACTAAAATTAAAATGATTGTAAATAATCTGGATAGTGTGCATGTATGCATTTGTTATCAATGTGAATCCTAAATAAAAATTTTATAGAAAAATACGGGATGTTGAGCAGTGGTATGAAACACCGGTCAGACTACTTTTTCATCAAGAGTGAAAGCAACAAAGAGGTTGTTCAGGACTTACCAATATTCCTCCAATGTAAATATTTCACGCAACATATTACTTGCTTCATCATTAGATCGCTGAAAAAAAAGGAAAATTAGGTCTCCAAGAAAAACTGACAACTAAAAACAGTTGACAAATACATAGAGAAGAAAAGATAAATACAGTACCTGAAATAGCTTATTGAAGTAAGCGTACTGTCTTGTAATGGACCTGCACTGCCTCAGTGCCATTTCTGAAACAAAATTGAAATAAAAATATGCCCAGGTGTAGGATTGGATTTTGGATATTATTTTTAGTGAAGTATACATACCAAATGCGGGAGAACCTTTCAGGTGCATAAGTTCTTCGGGATTAAAATACAACACAGTAGTATATTTAGAAGGTAACATATTTATGTAAGGCTTCCAAAAAGATTGGAGGTCACGGCGGTGCAGCAGTAGTAACAAGGCCAAAGCAACATTAGGCATATGTACTATCAATGGATCTTTCTTTGCTAGCTCCTCTAAAACACACAAAATTGAAAGAAGTAAATAATTAGACCAAATTTGGGGTATTAGAAAAAGCAGTAAACAACTCTCAACTCACTTAGCGGAGATTGATGGATATTTTCAACAGTCAGCATAACACGGCGAGGGACGGCAATCATCATGTCTCCCTCTTTGAAATCTTTCTCAGCTTCAATACCAAACTCCATTCCTGGGTATTCCGCAATTCTAAGTCCATCAAACTCTACATTGTTATTCTTTAGCCAAAGCAAAAAGTCCTCTTTGGAAGACTTTCTATCTGGCATTGGTTGTAATAATTCTGGAATCATAAAATTAAAATAAGTTAAATGCTTAGCTAATTCAGAAGTCCTAAAAATTTGTTTTGGTAGAAAACGAAGAATAGTCATACCTTCCTCAAGCACCTTAATTTTGCTCGTAATTTTCTGAATCTCTTGATAAGCCTCCAGCTCTTTGGCAACATTTGAAGACTCAGGAACACTACTGCTCACTGGTATTGGACCAAAAACAATAATTATGTAAGGACACAAGAGGTGTTAACAACTGTGAAACAATGTAGTCTTGGAAAACAGAACAAAAAATTAGGTTAGTATTCACAGGATATGGTCAAGGTGTGAGAAGAGGCTACCTTTTAAAATCTTGTCCAACAGTTGATTTAGGTCATTTCTTCTATTGGGTGGAAGTTTTACACATCCCGTGGTTTGAACACCACTTTTGTAAACATTATTTTGTTTACTTTTAACTTCATTCTGAGATTTCTTCCCCATGACGAAACTAGCTGGTCTCGGTTGTTCACTGAAGCAGAACAAGTTGACACTCTATTCAACTTGGACTGGGCCAAAACCTACACTAATTCTGATTACTTAAACACTTTGTTTTGAATGTCCCATGAGTAATGCTTGTTCCATACCAAATAAGGTAATGCCGGGAGGCGACACAAAACAGACGACAGAGAGTGGGCGTCCCTCGTTATGCACACTGAGCCGGCGTCTGCGAATAGTGATCCGATCCGACGGCAAGAGCCTGTAGCCTGTACTACAGGCCCTGTAGCCGTGGAGTATCGTCATCGTCGAAACACCTGCAGCAGGTGGACAAGCAAGCGAGCCGCGCCGCGAGCAGGGCCTGCTCACTTCGAGAGCGCAATTTGGTGTTTTCTCTCTCTTGCACCACCGGCCTTCTTACGGAAAAAGAGAGATAGAGATAGCCACCCGCGATCTTCTAAAAAGCCCGAAGTGAGACGGCCGCGTGAACGAAGAGGTTAGGACGCCTTGCCGAGACCTCATCGGTTGGGCAAGAAAAGTGAGTGAGTCAGTGACCTCAACACCCCAAAAGGCCTAATGATCCCCAGTGAGAAGGTCGGGAGGTTCCGGTTTGTATAAAAAAAAAGAAAAAAAAGTAACCAACTGTGTGGTGTAGGCTCCGTCGCCTGTCGCGGAGTGTAGTACCCGTGCCGTTACTTCTTGGCGCCGAAAATGTCAGACATAAACACGGGCGAGAGACGTCACTCTCTAGTGCAGCTGGTCTCCATTTTTCGTAAGAATCAAGCGGGTCCCATAACTTCTCTTATTGCACTTTACCGAAGCTGGCCGACCTCTCATGTCCAGACGAAGATCGACGTCCCACGCCTGTCCCGTACCACTGCGGAGCTACTCCGCGTCGCCAGTTTATCCCCGGATGCGTCACGGCCGCGGCTCTACCCCGGGCCGCCAGACATCATAGCCAGCCTCATAAGCCCACTCACAGGCGATGGAGTGCGACATCTGCACCGAACACTTCGACGGCGCCGAGCGGCTGCCCAAGTCCCTGCCGTGCGGGCACACGGTCTGCCTGCAGTGCCTGGGGCGGTTGCCCGACAGGAGGTGCCCGACTTGCCGCCAGGTGAGTGTCACCTGTGCCCTCCGCAGCCTTTCCTTGCCCTAACGTAAGTCCCACCTCTTCTCTCCTCCGCAGGACTTCAACGGCCCACCGGACGGACTCCCCACTAATTTCATGGTGCTCCGGTTCCTGAAGAGACGCCGACTGGACAGGTGAGCTCTGCCGAAGCGGAGTGTTCGGCAGCTTTGCAGCTTCATGGCTTGACTTGTGATGTGACCCTCAGCACTCCCCGCGGCTGGTGCTCGGACTGCCGCACCGCCGCCACGCCCCGCTGCTGGGAGGACCACGACGTGCTGGCCGTCAGGAGTGCCCTGAGGCGCCAGCTGCAGGGCGTGCTGCCGCAGGCCGCCGAGCAGCTCCAGGGCCTTCAGGACCAGTGCCGGGACGAGCAGGTTCTGCCCGCCCTCACCCTCCTGACGTGCGAGTCCTGGGGCGTGTCGCTGCGGGGCGGGGGCCACGAGCTGACGGGCACCTTGCGGAACACCGAGGAGCCCCTCACCAAGGCGCTGTGCCTCCTGCTGGCGGCGAGGGCAGCGCTTACTGAGGCAGGCAATTTAGAAACATCCATCCAAGCATGCTTTAATAATTTGCAAATTACTTGATTCTCTTCACGTCAAGGTTTTCGTTGTTTGTCCCGCGGTTTGTCCCCCCCCCCCCCGTGAAGCACAGTTAGCGCGGGGCATGCGAAGTTTTAAGCTGACACATTTTAATGGCTCTGAATCTATTCCTGTACCTCCTCTGACCATTTGCAGCATTTATTTGCATTTATATCGCACTTCAAAAACACGGCCGCCGGCAAGGAAAATCGAAATCTGAACTACACAAGGGGGGGGGGGGGGTAATGCACAGGGGCAGCGTCTTTGGATGGCGGCGGTTGGCAGGCACAGCTGAGCTGCGCGCTCGCCAGCGCGGGGCCCACCAGAAATGTGTAGAGACCCGAGGCCTCCCTGTACTACTTAAAAGTGACTGTGCAGGACCGAGCTGTGGCCGGGGACCTCGCCGGGGACCCACCACCTGCACCAGCGGCGCCAACGACTCGCGGCCAACCACCCGCCGAGGAGCGGCTTCTGGATGTGAGCCGTGTCAACCGTAGCAAGGCAAGGCTCGCCATCCTGCGGAGGGTCATACTAGGGGTGAGTGAGAGGACCGTTCGCGGGGCTCACGGCTCGCGCAAGGCTGGATGGAAGGGGGAGAGGGGCAGGCGTGCCTGTGCCCCGGACTGCAGCCGTGTCCGGTCACCCTGATGAGTGACCCTGTCCTGTCCTGTCGCAGGTGACGCGGCTGCACGGTGTGCACTGCAGACCGGACCGCGACTGGGGCCTCAAGCTGCTGCAGCGCGTCGCCCCCTCCGTGGAGGAGCTGGGTCTGTGCGATCCCAGTAAGCGCCACCTGCGCGCGCTGTATGCCATGCCGCGGCTCAGGAGGCTGGACGTGTGGTACGACGACGACGAAGATACCGAGAAGGACTTCTCCCCCCCGGTGGTCGCGTTCCCGTCGGGAAATGCCAGCCTGCAGTGGCTCGGTGTGTGTCGCCTCCACGGCCACACGCTGTTGTCCCTACTGCAGGCGCATAGCCGCACGCTGGAGGTCCTGCAGGTGACGCTGGGCACGGGGGTGCAGACGGGGTGGCCGTGGCATAGCTGCGACGACCTGTACCGGTTGCTCCAGCAGTGCGACCTGCCGGCGCTGCAGCTGCTCGTGCTGGATCGTGACTGCTACGGTGAATACCACGAGCCAGGCCAGTGCAACGAGCAGCTCGCCCAGGTGCGGCGGGTGCTGCCCCGGGCCGATGTGCAGTGCACCTATTGTGACCCTGTGTCGGCGGAACACTTCTAGTGGCGGCGAGCAACGCCACCCAGTGACTCGAGCGCAGCCCGCGGCCGCGATTTTAAACTTGACTACCTGGTTTTCGTGGTTTGTTGCCGATATGGAACGGAGGGGTTTCGCTTTGATTCCCTTGGGAATACATTCAATAGATCCTTGTTAATTGCACTCTTTTTATTTTGATTTATGAAAAAACAAAAATCAAACGTGATGCATACAATTACAATGGAATTTCATGTACATGAGCCGTATAGGCTGCTGGTGAGTTTGCACACGGAAAAAAAGAATTTGCTCTCACAACTAACGATTTAGTTAACATGGACATAACAAACAATTTTAGTTGCAGGAGCAAAGAATTTGCTCTGGGAACCAAAATTCTGCTGTCACAACTAACGCGTCGCTATGGTAACAAATGCGTTTGTTGTAAGAAAAAATCCTCGTTTAGTAACCAGAACAGTTGCATTTGTTACCATAGCCGACCATAGCGACGCGTTAGTTGTGACAGCAGAATTTTGGTTCCCATAGCAATTTCTTTGTTCCTGCAACTAAAAATTATTTGTTATGTCTATGTTAACAAAATCGTTAGTTGTGGGAGCAAATTCTTTTTTTCCGTGCAATCAGTATGCTAATGGTATACAAAAAAGATGAAAGCACAAAATACATAGAGAGCAATAAATCAATCTTCCACATTCCATGTCCACTGTTTCATGTTCCATTGATCTGTTGTGTGTTAAGCACAAACATGACCTTTATTACTCATTTTTGTTTTCAAAAAACCGAATTTCAACTAGCTATGTTACAGCTTGTGGCAAGGAAAAACTACTAAAGAAGGGCTCTGAGTAAAATATGGCAGTAATTTTCCAACATTAGGCCTCCCCATTTATCACAATATTCCAATATTTTTAAGGAATGCGTGTCATATAGTCAAGATAAGTTATTTGTTACGTTAACTATAATATACTGTACAATTCAATTGTAAAATTTCATTTACATTTTACATTACAAGAATAATACACTTTTAATTTCTTTTTACATCTGATGAGCAATAGAGCAATATTGACCCATAAGTAGACAAAACAAGCAGCACACAGTGCTCTATACAAATAGGAAAGAAAACGGATATGTTACCAGAACAGCACTAGGGAAGTCATCAAAACTCATGTACCACACAATTTTGTCACATCAGTAGCATGTGATACAGGATGCTATTAACTCTTCGAGTGTGGGTGCATGAGATAAAAATAAAATATTGGCTTACATCAAAACCCTGTCACTCCAATATTCTTTAAAAATATAAAAGTTTCTCTCCCGGACTTCTTACTCTACAAACATTTATCGACCATCACATTTCAAAGGAATACGAAACAACAGGACACACATTTTTGTACTGGTTGAATTGCTGAGGGCCCGCAAACGTGGCCAAAGTGTAGTGAAGTTTAGTGAGACGACAACTTCAGAGCCACTTTTGTCTGCAGACAAAAGGCGTAAACTTAAACTTATTAAGGCATGGCTGGTTTCTAGCGCACCTTTGCTCCACAGAAACGACGGAGTCCAAGACATTTAAGGAGTTCGACAACCGTGGCAGGTCGGTGAGGGGGGGGGGGGGCGCCACCCCAAACGCATAGTCACACTTGCTGCACTCAAGTATCAGTATATCTTGGTTTCACCACTTTGTCTGTCACTTCTACTTCTGGATGTGGTCGGAGAAGAGAGGAGGAGGGGGGGGGCTTAAAGTACTTTGTAGGAGCGCCTCCGCGGGAGGCTACGATAGCCCAGGCGGTAGCGGCGGGGGTGGCGCTGACCCAGACGGCTCCTAGGCCCTCGCCTCGCCATGCAGCCCGAGGCGGCCCGGGGGGGCGGCTGCCACCGCCGCCGTCTCGGCAGGGGGCGGCTCCGCAGGGGGCGGCGGCGGCGGCGCGGGGGGCGGCAGGGGCCGGCCTCAGAGGCGGGAGCACGACACGGCGCCCTCATTCACCTGCGGACCAAACAACGAGGCATTGAGAGAGGCTGGGACGGCTCTGGCGCAGTGGGGGGGGGGGCACCGAGTCACAGAGCCCCTGCGGCCGGCGGGGTAGGCCACACGGCGCGGCACCGGAGCGCGGCGGGACTGCCGACCACTCAGGGGCTCCGACACACAAACCGCCCTCTCACACCCACCACGGCTAGCTCGACAAGGCTTAAGGCTCCGCAATCAAATATTCATTATTTAGATCCGGCACCAGGCGGCAAAGCGAGAGTTTTGCAGGCAGGGGGCTTTGCAGATAAAAAGCAGAGTGCGCGGCATGCGGAGAGCGGGGGTGAGCAGCGAGGCCGGCCAGCGGGAGGACAAGCGCGACGACACGCCAGCGCGGGCATTTCATTTTAGCCGCGGGACACCAATTATTTACTTTTGGCCGTTCGCAAAATTACATTTGGACGCGCGCGCGTAGGTGCGGCGGTGCTGCGCCCCGCTCTGCCGCCGCGGGGCCCGCCGCGCGCTCTAGCCGTGTGTTGTGTTATTTGCGTACAACTTGGCGCTGTCGGGGACAAAAGGGGTGACAAATGGCAAAACAGAACCCCGCGGGCACGGGTGCGTGACGCGTGCTGCGGCTCGTCTGTGTGTGTGAGTGCGTATGTGGGTGTGTGTGCAACTCTCGTGTGTGTGTGTGTGTGTGGAGCAGAAGCAGAGCAGGCGAGCAGGCAGAGGCAGGATGGAGGGAGGGAGGGGGGGGGGGGGAAGGGGCATTTCTAAAGGTATATGGCAGCGTCGCGCATGCAAACCATTGCGGCAATGCAGACAAATAAGCGAAATTTACATTGTAATTTTTTGTACACCAAAATCTGATAGTTTTTGTGACAGTTTTCAGAATGTGGCATATAATTTTCAACGTATCCCCACAGAAAAAAATGGCTTATCTACACTGGAAATGCAAGTGTGTGAATGTCGCTCACCTGCAGGTGAGCGACATTCCATTCGTACACTTAGGGGGGTAAACGTGTGAATTTTCTAGGAAAAATTCACACCTTTAGCCCCCTAAGTGTACGAATGGAATGTCGCTCATCTGCAGGTGAGCGACATTCACACACTTGCATTTCCAGTGTATATCGAAGCGTCTACAAACCTTCTGGCACCAAACGGCAATAAATAGGTAACGTGAAGAGAAATCCATCCTCTAAGAAAAATGACAAAATTTGTTTTCGGCCCATAAAAAAGCAACTTAATTAACCCCAGTACCTAGAAAAAGCAGTTTTCTAAATCCATTGCCATACCATGCCCAACACCATAATGGTTTAAAAAGTAAAGTTCATAAAATATACCTATAATAAGGGAGAGAAGTTAAAACGAAACTTTTTAAGGAAGGCCGCTGACCGTGGTCACGCTGAGCGGGACCTCCTCCGGGCGCGGCGACACGATGCTGCTGGCGCACAGGCTGGCGCACATCTCGCTGGGCAGGGCCGTGGTGCTCGTGACCGTGCTGCGGCCCTCGCTGCGCTTGCGTATCGCCCACGGCGCCTGTAACAGTGTTACAGAGGGTTACACATAAAGAAAAAAAAAAGATTAGATACATATAATCCCTAATCGAATAGCTAAATACGGGATAACTAATTGTTTAGCTTTGAAGCTAAAAGTACAGATTTGTAGCTTTCTAGCTAAAAATTAATCTAGGTTTTGCCAAAAAAAAAAAAAATAGCTACGTATAGCTAAAAATGTAGTTAGGTTTAGCTAATAATTAGCAAAGTTTTTAGCTGATATATAGCCAATGTTTTAGCTGATACCTCTTTTGTGAGATTTTAATAAGTTCAATAGCTAAACTCTTAGCTAAATAGCTAACTTCAGGGTGGTTACCTGATGGTTGCCGTAGCTGGAGCAGGTGTCGTACGAGTGGAGCGAGGGGTGCCGCGTGGGCCGCGACTTGAACCAGAAGCCGCCGCGGCGCGCCCCCCACAGCGGCGGCCGACTGCTCCACGCCTTGTCCAGCTCGGCGCGGACCTCCCCATTCATGAAGCAGAACAGCACGGCCACGAAAAATCCCTGGGAGAAAATAAAACGAAAGATTTTGATATGTATTATTTCTTTTTCGCCTTTAGCATCGGCTAATATCGCATCTCATAACCATGATTTCACTTTGTTTTTTTTTTTCGCGTTTTAAAAGGAAAATGCGATGATGGAGTCAACTCAGAGGTTCAGGCTTCCGAAAGGAGGCCCTGTCTTTATTCTTTTCCCTTTTAAATTGCCGCTCTGATATATTCCGTTGATTCGAGCGACCGTTGGTGGTGATGGAGAAGAGCTAATTACCTGGAATGAGGCGAAGGCCTGGTCCAGAAACAGCCAGACGACCTCGACGAGCTCGTCCTCGCGCGACTTTACGCCCGTGTGCACGCCGTAAGACATGCCCAGGAAGATGAAGTAGTGAGCCCCAAACAGCGGCATCAGCACAAGGGTGGATTTGGCCCAACGCCTGGACGGGAAAAAAAACGTGTTTTGTATGACATCGTTTCGACAGGGCTTCCTGCTACCGTTCCACAGAATGGTTTCAGAAAACGAAACAAGCAACTCGCAATCTCGCAGGAAAAAGGGGTTTTGAATTTAGACGAGCCAAGTAAAAGGCCGGATGCTATTAATCGTGCTGTTATTTACGCGGACAGAGCAGTGAAAAATGTCGGGAATACTTTAAGGGTCAAACTGGTAAGGAAACGGAGAAGACAGGAATGATAATTAAAAGACAAAAGCGAGACAAAAACGAGTGCGACGTCAAAAACATAAAGCAGACGCAGACGACCTATTTAAACGACTGGAAGAAATTAAAATAAAGGAGGAGCTCGATAAAAACAAGACAGACAATTGAGGATAGAAGGGGCGGAAGTTACGATAAGATGGTTGTTATACGTGCGAAGCGGGATGGGGCGGTGTCGCTAGAGGAAAAGAGAGAATTGTTTTCACAGACACAGAAGAAGACCGAGGAAGTGAATGTGTATCAATGACAAGACGGGTGAGAAACAAAGTGAGTTATTGAGTCAGAGAGAGAGAGAGAGAGAGAGAGAGAGAGAGAGAGAGAGAGAGAGAGAGAGAGAGAGAGAGAAACGACAGTGGACACCGCTACAGACGACGAGACATGCAAACGCAGCCTGGTCGCCTCACCTATACCTGTGCCGGCGCGTCTCGTCACAGATGGACGCCTGCAGTTTCTTCATCAGCATTCTTATGATATTGAGAAATAGAAAGAAGTTCACCTGCAACATACATAGAGAGAGAATGCTCAGTCTGAGTGAGAGAGAAATACACGCCGTATTGTTTTGTCCAAGGACAGTGGGATCACTCGGAAGGGACGGGTGGAAGGGGTGAGAGGTTGTGGGTGCAGGGGTGTTTGGGGGAGGGGGGGGAGAGTGAGGGGGAGTAGGAGTGTGGAAGAGGATGGGGTGTGGGTTGGGAAGCGAAGGAGGTACGCAATATAACTTTCACAGAAATACCAACGGGCTCACTGGCCTTTCACAGCGGATGCCTATGCAGAGTTATGAGACTCCTCGACCGTCATCAGACATTTCCAGGAAAAATGACAAAATGTTAGAATTTCATAATGAAGAGTCCTTTAATTCACCCCTCTGCTATCCCTGAAATCTTTTTCCACTCCCAAGACGAACAACTTTCCCCGTTTCGACCATTTCTTTCTCCGCCGTTAAAAAGACCAAAGGGGATCTTGTGTTTCTGCCCCTGCGTACGCGGTAGAGGGGCGGGTGGGCTCACTCGCCCAAACTCTGCCAAGCTCCCTTTGCCTCGCTGCTCGCACACTGCTCCTTGTAGTTCGCTACCGCCGAGAGATTTGGTCGTTGCTCAGCAGTTCGAGGCTAGTGGTGTGAAGGTGCGAGTCGAAATGCGAGGTAGAGAGAGGCGAAAGCGTTGGGGAGGAGTGGCTGGATCGGGCGTATGGGGACTTGAGGTAGTGCTAATGTTCGAGCAGCATACGCCGTTCGCAGAAAAGAGAGCGCTGCTGCGTGCAAGCCCATCAGAGAATCATTAGTCACGGACTATCAAAGAAATAAGCAGTCGTGAACTCCTGTTTTACCCAGTTCCCAGTATTTCCCTATACTATCCTCGGTGAAAAGTTTTGCACGCAGCTGCAGTCCGAGTTTGTTGAGTGAGTTGCTATATCGGTCCTCTGCCGACACAGTGGCAAGTGAGCGACTGACACACATTTTCAAGAGTGCAATACGAGAGATGTGCGCACACACACACACACACACACACATGGAATACCACTCTGAGACAGAAATATGATAAAGTCTTTCCATTTGCTTAGTGATCCGAAGAGGAAGAAGGAAGTGGGGCTTGGAGAGGAGACGAGTGAGGGAAAGGGAGAGAGAGAGAGAGAGAGAGAG